ACTAATAAATATAATTTATAATTTCCTTCAAAAAATATATACATTTTATAATAACTAAAAAAAATATTTTTTATGTCAGTTTTAATTTATATTTCTACAGATTTATTAAAACAAAACAAAATGGTTAACTAAAAAAACTGTAGATAAGAACTCAGGTTCTTGTTCAAGCACCTATAACTTGACAAGAACATCTCTCCTAAGTAGAAGTTCTTGTACAAACTCCAACAACAATCTCCATTGTGGATGCTCTTAGAGATATCTCGATATTTGAGTTAAATAACTTGAAAGAAATGTTCTACGTTATGCCTTTAGATAGATACAGAGAAATTTACATAAATAGCCAAACTGATAGGTGGTTTCATTTTTCAGTCATTATCTAATCCAAATTCACTTTTTAGTTAATCCTTACGCAGAAGACTTACTACGCGTAAGGATTTTTTTTCTGTTGAAAACCAATCATTCCGTATATGCTAAGTCTTTTGCATAAAGATTAATTAAAAAGCGAATTTGAGTCAAAAAATGAATAAAAATCGAAACCTTATTTGCTGATTGACTATTTTTTGTCAATTTTCATAGATACAACTATATCTATGAAAAAGAATAACATAAAATGATAGAAAAAAGAGCTAATTTTGGGCTAAAAACTAACGGTACCCACATGTATGAATGTGAGGCAGGTGAATCTGCATTCTCTTGGGTTGCATGTCCAGGTTATACCTTTGAATGATTGCTATCGGGAAAATGTATGTTTTTGGGCAAAACCAAACAGACAATAAGGAGTCATCAGGGCCGGCCCTCGCCACATGCAGCCCGTGCGGCCGCATAGGGCATCAAAGCCTAAAGGGGCATCAAGTTGTCATCTATTACTAGTTTTGGGTTTAATTATTTGTGAATTAGACAACTGAGCTTTAACCATAAAAACAGGCACAAGGCTTAGTAGTGATGAATACTAAATGTATATCGTCAACCGGTTAACGCCATCATTCCAACAACTCAATCTAATTTCAATTGTTCTTCAAAGTTGGACTATTTCGATTTTCAAGGCATGAAGTTCTCTTTACAGCTGATTTAACGGTCATGAAATTAGATTCAAGAAATCAAAGATGGAAATCTCGAATGACTGATTTCTACTGTTGATTGAACTTACTGAGTTGCTGTGTGAGTCATATTAGGATTTATGAATCTTAAATCTTCTTGCAAAAAAAAATCTAAATTTTTAACTGATTATTATAAAATTGGGTCATGTGGTCGTGTGAGTTACTTACCTACTAGGCTAAGGGGATTTTGACATTTTGATAATAAATCTTCCTCTTGCATATTGAAAAATCTGAGAATTGAAATTTTCAATGCACATGAACACAACATTGTATCAACATAGTTGGAGCACATTTCACAACATTAACAACATATTGTGATATTGTCTTAATTATTAGGCACTTGTTCTTTGGAGTGCATAGTAACATAGCTTATGAATTTACAATTTATTATTGTTCTTTTGACTTTTGTTTACTTTGATGTTTGACATTACCGCATTAGATTTATGGGTCATTTGATTGGTTTTTTTTATTAAGTCTATGTGGATAAAGTTGTCTGTATGAATTAATTTGTTTGTATAAATTGGAAAAGTTTTTGTTTATGAGAGTTTTTTCGCGGATGTAATGAGCGTTCCTTTAGTTGGAAGAGACATGTTTGGAAAAAAAAAAACTTGACTTTCTATAAAGTTTCTCCTATAAGCTTACTGGATAAGTCACTTTTTATATCATTAAGCCACTACGAAACAGTCATGCATAGTTGAGTGAATAAGCTTTTAGTTCCATTAAGCTTATTAAGCTGCTAATAGATAGGCCATTAGTCTTTAGTCGTTAGACTTGTAACTTTTGAGTTTTACTTTTTTGCTTACTATGACTATTTTAGTTAAAAATTAGTTATAGTTTTCCTTGCCTTTTAAATCCCATATATTGAAATAAAGTTTCTATTTTGCTAATTTTAATTTGGAAAATGGAAATCTGGAAAAGAAGGAAATACGATCTTAATCCAAGATTTATCATTTTATCATTCTATATTTTGTATTCGGGGTTTTGATTTTTATGTCCCCTACATTGTATTTTTTTTTATTATAATTAATAAAAATCAACATGGAGATGAGACACTTAGCTTGAATAGGTTCTAAAACTCTTTAAAAATCGCATGTTTCGTTGTTTAATTGGCTTTAAAAAAATAGGATTAAGGACATTTTTTTATTATTTTCGCACAGGGCATCAAAAATCTCAGGATCGGCCCTGGGAGTCATTTACCAATTAGTTACCCGACAAGTCATAAATGTTTAGTTACAAGAGTCAAGATCCTTGCTTACCTTATTGTAACATTCTTGGTCATCAAAATAAATTGTCGGTAAGTATTTAACAGACAAGAGTCTTATCCCTCATTTAGTGGGTAAGATTCTCAATTCTTGCTGTGCCTTTTATCGAGTAAGATTCTAGCTCCATACTATGCTCACGCAAGGTAAGTGACACTCTATAAGTGCTTACTTGGTAAGAGTTTGAACCGACTTTGACCCTATTGTTCTTGTTTTTTAAAAGAAATTACTATTACTGGTTGATTCAAGAATGGTTTATGAATTATTGTATTTCACTACTACCCAACATTCTAATTGACATGAGACATGTGGTCAAGCCTCAAGTTTTAAGAGTCATGGTGGGGCCAGAACGTTTTTCATGGTGTTATTTATGTCGGTAAATTTGCATATCATATCATATATATATATATATATATATATATATAATTATGTATATACATGTATGTTTCTTATTTTTACTCAGTAATTTAATGATATTGAAACAATTAAAATTAGGCTATATACTAAAAATTAAAACACTAAAAATGGAGTGTATGTTAACAAATTATAGCCATGGTGTGCGTTAGGCTTAACGTGATGTAAGACACAAGCCTTGAGCCATTACGCATCACTTGACGCCATTGTAGCTGCCATGGCGAGCCTTTAGAATGTTACTTTTGTTGTGTTAAGTTACAATATAAGTTTATAGTGATTGGTTGATCCAACGATGGATCGTAGCATAGTCTTGGGAATTGGAGTGCATACGACTAAATCATGAGCTCTTTCTTTTTTTCATGGGGAAGATTAATTGGGAGCTTCTTTACATTGTTAAATGCACCCTGACCTTGTACTTTCTTCCTGTTGGTCCCAGACGGATCTACAAGAATTTATAGGTAACAGTTTGTAGGGGGGGGGGGAGGTAAATACAAAGACACACTTTTTGCTTTTTAAAATTTTTTATTGATAAGAAAAGATCAATGCACAAATTGTTTGCGGAAGAAGATAAAATTAATATCTTATCTAAACAATCTAGGAAGCACACAAGTTATACAGAAAAGCAAGAAAGAAAGTGTTTGCTTAAGAATGTGCTATTATTTGCTTGAGTAAGCTTAGGTTCACATTTGAGAAGAGTCTTTTTAGTTATTTATACCCCTTAATGCAAGTCAGATGGTACAAAGCATGTGACAAATTTCTAGTGGAGAGTTTGTACTTTGTCTTCAGATATACATGTTTTTGGTCGTATATGAACAATAGTCTTTCACAAAGTAGGTAAGCACGTTTGGAGACAATAGAATGACTTCGTACATGTGTTGAGGTATGAGATTGTTCTTTGTGTGCAGGAAAATAAGACAAAAACTAATCTTGTATAGCAAGATTTATTTGATTGCTGACACTGGCATAACTCTAAAGTTTCTTCGGTGTTCGTTGAATCTTGATTAGACTTCACACTTGATGTAGATATGCTTGTTATCACTGAATCCGCTACAGATCACGAACTGCTTGTCTTTATCTTCAGCTATATCTTTGACATTGCTGAAGGTTCATTTGATATGAGTTTTGTCTTCTTGAAGAATACTTGTCCTTTTTAGAAAAGTTTGCAATACATGCTCAACGATCATTAAACAGACTCAGTGATGATTGCTGAAACTGAAAAAAAATAAAACTAAGTATTTTTTGTTAAGTATAAATGATCATCATCAAATCACTGAGAGAGTTTGAATCAACACTTCCTTATACATACCAACACTAAGGGGGTGTTTGGTTCAGTCAGAAGAATGAAAATGACAGGGAACAAAAAATGGGAATGAATTTCCATTCCCCCGGTTTAACCTGGAATCAAAATTTGAGTTTCTAGGGAAATGAACTCATTATATTATATAAAACTAAACAATCTCTTTTATTTTCATTCCTATTGATTATTGCCTAACCCTCTAACCAAACACCCTCTAAAATCCACTTTTTACATTCTCAATGCATTACTTGACCTAATTTTGACATTAAAGAAGGTACAATTAGCCTGGCCTTTTTCATACTTTTAAAAGAGGCCATTTAACCATTAAATTGATATTATTTACATCAAATCCAACGTAAAATGATTATCATACAATGTTATTCAGCTTAATGTTAATATTCTCAAGTAAAAAGTGGTATTAAGTTTAGGGATTTTTTGTAAAAATTAAAAACATAATTATAATTTAATAATGAAAAATCAGATATTTCATGCATTAAGGACTTGTAATATACAAGTCAAAACCAAATAAATCTTCTACTCAGATACCGACCTAGAAATTGTTTAAGTGATAAAACCATTTAATTATAAAAAATAAATATATAAATATTCTTTATAAAATCATCATTAACCAACAACTCATTAATTTTCATATGTGAACCCTCGTGTTCAAGGCTTTTATTGTAATTTTAATTCAGGAACATAATAAATTTAAAATTAAAACATAAGTAATTTGAAAATAAAAGATAAAAACTAAGAAAATGACATTAACATGATTCAAACTCGGGTCTTGGATGAAATAAAAGCTTTGCAAACCAACTTTATCAAGGAAAACTTGTGTCTTTATTGTAGTACCAAAATATACACAGTGACACACAACAAATTGATACATCGACACTTTTTACGATCCTACAATTTTTTACATTGCGACAGAGGAACGTAAAAGTGGCCCATGCCACTACTTTAACCACCTGGGTCTGTCACTGCTTGTACCTATCAATGACAACAGACAACCAACGATCATCATTGATAGTCTCCCTCGCTCTTCATGCCTACGAAGTCCCCTCGCCTTTCTTCAACCTGCACATCATTTGTCGCCCCTCTCCTTCCATCGGAGTCCCCTATTTGTAGTTTTATTTGTTGACCAATCGTAGTTTATATTTTGATTTTGATTAAAAACCTTCAAAGTTAGGGTCTTTTTAGATATTGTCTATAGTTGGATGGGTCTATTTGACATTTTTTGCAAAACTGATGGCCTCTGAATATAATTCCAACCTTTTTTCGAGAAGGACTAAAAGTGAAGATTGAGACTAGTTTAGGGACCATTTTGGTTATTTTCAATAAACCGAAACCATCAATCGATACGTGCATGGATGAAGTGACAAAAAAGAGTTGATGAGGAACAACTTGTATCCGTACATGTGTCGCAATGATTCTTGTGATGTGAAGAAAACGCTATTGAATGGATCTCCATCTCTCTGATTGATTTTGCTCATGAATTCTCTCTTCAGAGAGATATCGAAAGATTTGAAAAAGCTTATGACCTTCAGGGAGGAAGGACCGACAGTTGGGAAGAAATGTCGAGATCGAGAACCGAGGATAAGGAGCTCCGGCGAGCGTGCGAAGCCGCAATTGAAGGCACCAGACAGAGGATTATAATGGCGATTCGTGTTGCGAAAAGCAAAGGTGCATGGGGTAAAGGAAAAATAGGCAAAGGTCAGGGGATGGCTAAACCTAGGGTTCTTGCCATCTGCAGTAAGCTCCCCACCACTTTATCTCTATTATATACTTTAAATTATAAACTACCAACACTATCAATCTATTCATAGCTGTATTGAGTCAGGAGCAAGTGGTAGCATTACTCATTTGTGACCAAAAGGTCACGTCAGCGTCTTTGTAAAAATTCAAGGGAAGATTTCCCTCACCCACCCTTAAAAAGCGTAGGAGCCTTGGTGTCTTGGGGCACCCTCCATTGTTCACTCTTTCGTGCACTTGGCAGGCCATCATTGAACTGGAATAATTGGTTGTTACTACTACTTGTTAAAATTAATGCTTTTGGGAACTTCTAGTTCTGATAAACTCGGAATTTGGTTGGAGATATTGATTGAACGATTCATCATGATGTACTGTACTAGATTTTATAGTTCGTCAGTAGTAGAAGTGGTTAACCTGTAAATTAAGAGAGGAATCAATGAAAGTGCTTTGTTAACAGTGATGTAGTTCGATGATTGTTTTCATCCTCCATGAGTTGATGGGAAGAGGATTAAGGTATTGACTATGGAGGATATGGCTTATGAGAGTTGAATAAGGAGAGTTCTTATTCCATTGTACATCGAAACAATATGTTACAAGTAGCTTAAATAGGCTGAAGCTATTCTAGGAGAGACTAATACAAGGGAAGCACTAATTAGAGAATACAGTCTAGACCCTACTAGAAGATTGAGAATCAATCTACTTACAAGAAAATGGTTACCAAATAACTCTAAGATTATAGGCCAACACTCCTCAAGTTGGAAGATATTGATCGTGTCCAACTTGTTAATCAAGAATTCAAATTTGTTGCCGAACAATCTTTGGTGAAGATATTGCTGCCTGATGATTGACTGGGATATGGAGAATGCAAACTCTTCCAGAATTGATCTTTTCCGTGGTAAAGTGTATCAATCTTTACATGTTTGTTCTTTCGTGATGGACAGGCTTGTGAGCTATGCTTATAGCTGCTTTGTTATCATAATACAATGTCATAGGTAGAGAGATATCCATCTTGAGTTCTTTTAGGAGTCCGAAAATCCATCAAAGTTCACATATACCTTGTGCTATAGCAGGAAATGCAGCTTCTACATAACTTCTTGGAACAACAATTGTTTTTTACTCTTCCATGCAAGTCACTAGGTTTCCATACACTAACATGCAATACCCAGTTGTTGACTTCCATCTTTTGGACATCCATCTAGGCATGGGAATGGGGCGGGGACCTCAATCCCCATCCCTGTCCCCGATTCCTCATCTTCGTCCCCGTCCCCTTCCCCTTCCCCGTCCCCATCCTTGTCGGGGAATTTGATCACATCCCCATCCCTAACGGGGAACGGGGATTTTTCCCCCGTTTATGTAAGCTATTTTAAATCAAACATGTAAGAGACCACATATGTTTAAATCTCACATATTTCCAATAATCCTAAAACTAAGAGGGATTTAATTTAATACAAAGGAGATCACAACATCCCATAATAATTAATAACCTAAAACCAAAAGACATTGAATTCAATCCAAAAAAACTTAAGGTCACACCTGCCTCAACATATCGAGTAATATAAAGAACCATATCGAGTAGTATCAAAAACACATTGAGTAATTGTATTTTGACTTGACCTTCAAAATATTACATCCTAACGTCCAAAAGAAGTAACAATTTAGATTCTAAACCTAGTTAGGAAATAGGAAATCATGAACTACCAATTTAGTTGAATTAAATAATATGTATATATCTATACTATCTTATAAAGCAAATTTAACAAAAGTCTTCAAGTCTTAAAATACTAAATGATCAAGATACCCTTTATATCACTTTTTCACCCCCTCTCTCCTCACATACACTCACCCCCTCACATACACTCACCATCTCACAACCGATTTTTTTTTTTAAATTATAATTTTAAATTTACACTTTATACCCCTATAATTAGTTAATTAATTTACTTTACGTCATTTACTTTTAAATGTTTCATTTTAAACATTTATCAAATTAATATACATAATTGTATATCAATTAAAACATGTTTAAAAAATACATTCTTATTTTAACAAGTTACACCATTATAATCGTCTCGTTAATACCTTCGAAATGAGTCCAATATTGAATAGTTTTTGACTTGATTATATTATTATATATTATATATACTGTGAAAAAATATTTTTAATATTTACGATTTATACTTTTATAGTTATTTATTTATATATATATATATATACTATATATTTTGGGGTTAGGCTGTCCAAATTGCACTGTATAATATGTTCTGAATTATTATGTTCTTGGGTTTTTTTGAAATATATATATACATGTATTAATTCAACCTTAATCTGAGTTTCTGGACAAGAAAGAGGGTAAGCAGTTGAAATTTCATTCTAAAACCCATCTTTTTTGGTCTTTTCATGACTTATGATCTGTCAAATTTGTAGTTTTCTTTATTGGTTTTGAGTGTTTATCTTAAAACTCAAGTTTCTTGGTTCTTTGCTCTTGGTGTAAATCGAACACATTTGTGGAGTCGTTTAAATATGTTGGATTTTAAATATATTGGATTTTAAAATGTCATACAATTTTTTTCATCGATAGTCTGTAATTGGAACCATAACTCTTATTTATTCAAATTGTATTAATATGTAAAGACCAAGTATAACATATATCATCGTTAAATCTTATCTTATAAAACCAGTGGAACTTCAAAATCGTTAAAATCCATGGCTCCCGCCTCATTGCGCAGGTACACAACTAGTATATATATAATTCATTAATTAATATATATAATGTGTACGGGGCGGGGAGTGCGATACCTATCCCCGTCCCCATCCTCGGTTTGGGACAAACGGGGATCCCCGTCCCCATCCTTGATTTAGCAAGGAATCCCTGTCGGGGCCCATTCCCATGCCTACATCCATCCCAATATGAGTCTATGAAGATCTATATTCATCGACTATCTCCTTTTTTGAAGAAAAAATGTTTTCCTGGAGTTGTTTTTAGGTACTTAGGATCCTGAAAACAACCTACATGTGAGAGTTCCTTGGAACATGCATAAATTGGCTCACACGACTTACTGCGAAGGCTATATTGAGTTTTGTGTGGGAAAAATAAATTAGCCTCCCAACAAGATAAGATACTAGACAAGACACCGGTATCTCCTTTTATTCACAAGTTCTCCTTCGTGATCATTTTGACATTAGAGTCGATTGGAGTTGCAATGGTTTACTCTCTGTCATGCACGTTTATTTGAGAAGATGGATAATGTATTTATGTTGGGTGATAGAAATACCTTTCTTGGATCGAGCAACTTCCATGCCAAGGATGTATTTAAGAAGACCAAGATTTTTGACCTCAAATGTCTGAGCCAATGCCTTTTCAATTTCTCAATCTCAGCCAAGTTGCTACATGTGACAACTATATCGTCAACATATATGATTAAGATTGTAATCTCCCCCTTACTTGAATGCTTGTAGAACAAAGTATGATCAGCTTGTCCTTGAATAAATTCAAGCTTCTTCATCGTCTCTCCGAACTACTTGAACCAAGCTCGCGGTGATTGTTTAAGTCCATGAAAAGACCTCTTGAGGCACACTACTAATCCCTTATTTTTCTTGTTGTGGAAACTAGGTGCTATATCCATGTACACTTCTTGACATTGAGCTGATATAGAGGCCAATCTTGATTAACAACAAGGGACATGAGGACCCTCAGAGTATTGAGTTTGGCTACTGGAGTGAAAGTCTCCGAGTAGTCAACTCCATATGTTTGGGTAATCCACGAGCAACTAACCTGGCTTTGTATCGATTGATGCTTCCATCTGCATTGAACTTGATATTAAACAACCACCGGGCTATATTTTTCTTGTCTTTTGGTAATTTCACCGGGGACCAAGTCTCATTCTTTTGTACGACTGTCATTTCTTCGGGAACTACTTGTTTCCAATTTGAAGACTTGAGAGCTTCATGGACATATCTTCGAATCTATGAAAATTGAAGTTTAGTGATAAAGGCTTTGTAGCTTTGAGACAATTTCGCATACAAGTGTTGCTTGCCTTTCCTTAGAGCTATTGGGAGATCCACAACTCCTTTTGCATCATCCTTAGAATCATTATTTGTTTGAAGAGGAGCATCATGGTCCGTATTGACTCTGTTTGCCCCCCTTAATCTGGATCTCTTGGTTTAGAATTTTGTTCAGCTTGAAGCACTGGAGCAGATCGTACCACATGAGGTTTCTTGCGACGAGAGTAAATCTATATCGCTTGTGGGTTTTCGGCCGGATCATCTGCAGCCGAGATACTTGTTCCAGTGCAAGTAACATAATGAGTTGTGTGGTCAATGATTGAGTTTGGAATTGTTGTGGTACACTCCCAAAAACAAGCTTCACCTATATTCTCCTCTTGAAGTGATGGTTTCGGATACAAGGGGACATACTCAACGAATGTCACATCCATAATGATGAATAGTTTTTCTTTCTTACAGTAGAGTCAAAACATTTGTATTCTTTATACATGGTTGAATATTCAAGGAAGATACATTTGATTTCCCAAGGATCAAACTTAGATGTTAGATCGATTGTGGTTATGAATGTGAACACTAGGCACCACATACAGACACACGAGTTTGGAAGTTTATTGAGAACAGGTGGGCCAAGATAGGATCGTAAGAAAACTAGTAAAGGTGTTTGGAACTTAATTTTTTTTGATGGCATTTGGTTTATAAGATACGCGACATCAAGAATGGCTTCCCCCCAATAGTATTTAGGAACTTCTTGTAGTGAAAATTAGGTTATGAGAGATTTCTAATATGTGAGTTTTTCTGTTCAGCCACCCTATTCTATGGAGGGGTGTTTATGCATGAGCTATGATGAACAATACCAATTCTAGAGATATGATTCTAACACCTCATTAGAGTCTTCGCCCCAGTATCACTTTTGAGAACTTTGATACATGCATTAAATTGTGTTTTAACCAGGGCATGAAAGCTTTTGAATGTGCAAGCAGTGTCAGAATTTTCTTTCA